TAATGAGCCATAACCCCAGCCCCTTTGAGGCCATTTTCTTTGTTAACTTCTTGGATTTTATATTTTCATCAAAACCTTCCCTAAACTTCCTCATCCTATTATTTGCTAACATTAAAAAAGAAATTCACTAGTAACAGTCTCTGTGATTAGTAACTGTTAAGACTGGTAACTGTTAGCATTCTTCCTGAACAAGTTCAGTTTCTTCAATCAAGTGTAGCATGTAACTGCCATTTCCTTTTGTTCATTCATTTAATGTTTTTCAGAATGGAAAAAGTACTATCAAAATATATCAAATGGTCCTCTGCCTTCTCCGCTGGTTGGCCGCCTTGAGTCCAGGCGTGGGGCGAGTCCGGTCATGTAACGCATGTTCATGGGGAACATGGCACTAAACCATTCCTAGACGACCTGCTTCTGGATCGGGGTTTTCTACCTAGCAGAGCAGCTCCCTAGCTGCAATCTATTGAAAGTCAGCCCTCCACACAAGGATTTGTAAAAGCATTAAAAGAGGAAAAAAAAAAAAAAAGAAATAAAGAAAAAAAAAATATCCAGTATTACAAAGTGACAAATGAGGGAAGTTTTAAAAACCTAAAGTTAAACATGGCCATTTTTCACTGTTTCAATATTTGCATATCCAGAAACTACTTTGAGTTTTACAACCTGACAAGATAGAAGTTAAAATGGGGCGTAGAGAAGTTAACTGACTTGCTTAAAGTCACAAAGTAAGTTAATGACAAAGCCCAAATCTTTGGACTAGACACCCAGTTGTCTGTTCACCATTGATGATTATCTTCCTAAACAACCCGTCTTTCTGGATTCTCTGTTACAAATACTTGGTTTAAAAAGACACACTTTGCATGTCAAAGTCAAGACTTACTGCAGCAGGACTGTGGCCAGAAATGTACTTGTCCCACTACACTGACTCACTTTGCTAAGGTAAAAAATGGATCTCACCCAAATATATTCTATCCCCACTTTCCCTAATAGGAGACATTTATGTCTTGGGTAGCACAGAAAATCTAAGGAGTTTAATCATCGAGTCTTTATATACCCTGAAGCCTATGGTTTAGAGGAGACTAAGGTGGAAATTTCCCAGCATTTCAGTTGTGTTGGGATGAATAATTAAATTTAGAGTACGTACCTCTAGCCTTCTCACCTTCACAACTGACAGCCAGGAATGCCTGGTTATTTATCTCCAAAAAACTGTTTCCAAAGAGGAGAGCAAATGATTTTTTAAAATGCCAAAAACAGGGGCTGAGTTTGTAGCTCAGTGGTGAGGCACTTGCCTAGCATGTGTGAGGAACTGGCTTGGATACTCAGGATCACAAATAAATAAATAAATAAAATAAAGGTATTGTGTCCATTTACAACTAGGAAAAAAAAAAAATATATATATATATAAAAGACAACTTGGGTCAAATTTACTGTTCAATCCATGTGTACTTAAAAAATGGCTATTTGGGGCAGGCACAGTGGTGCACGCCTGTAATCCCAGCAGCTCAGAAAGCTGAGGCAGGGGGATTGTGAGTTCAAACCCAGCTTCAGTAAGGCCCTGGGCAACTCAGTGAGACTCTGTCTCTAATAAAATATTTTAAAAAAGCAAAAACACTTCCCCAGGAGGTCAATATTGAGATAGCAGCCTTCATATTTACTTCAGACTCTTACTTTTTGTATGACTATCAGGGTGTGTGTTTAAATATTTCTACATTTGGCAACCAGGATGTATGACCTCCTTTTCTTACACATGCCCTATTGAGACATAGGAAGCACCCTGCCAGCCTCTTAAAATGAAACACATTTGAACAGCCTTCCTGTAATCAGGAATAAGCTTACCCATGCTGCTATCAATTTTTCTATTGCTGTAATCCCAAGTTATAAAGTCTATAACAAGATAGACAGACCTGTCTGTCAGACTAGAACAGGTTATTTATATCTGGTATTCTCTAAAACAAGGTACAGGCAGGACAAGCGCAAAGTGTTTAAAACAGTAGTTCACTAGGGTACCAGGCTAATAGTGAAAATACAAAGGAAGAGGGCTAAAACTTGGCCATGTCTACTTAAGACTGGGAATAAAATATATTACCTGTTGAATTTTAAGAGCTCTTTGCAATTTCAGCACCACAGACTCAGCTCTGCCCTGAAGCTCTTCTGTAACTGACTTTTATAGCTGTAATTAACCAAAGCTGGGTGGGACAGATTTACTCCTTCTCTATAATGTTATTATTACCGGCTCATGGCTAGCAGCTAGCAGCAGTTCTCGCCCTCTTGCACTAGATGCCTGGCCTGCACAATTAGCACCTTATTATAGGCTGGCCTCTTCTAATTACCACATGGCTCAATTGAGCATTTTATTTTATTGTCTTGTTCATGCACTAGTTCAAGGGCCTGGGGTCCCCAACTATAATAAATCCTAAACTCCTCTTAGGCAGGTGTTTTGGTTTTATTTCCTTAGGCCCATAAGAACATTGGCATACAACATCTTTCTGACTGAAGAGCTTCTAGATGTCTATGCTGGAAGTATGGCACATGGCTGGAATCTAGTTCTCCTACTCAATCATATGTACCAGATTTATCAGCCTATTGAGGACTCTGTCCTTAGCTGTTTGAAGTTAAGCTCTGCTTACATATCACTTTGAACTTTATCTAACTTGGTGGGCTGAAATAGACAGGGGAACTTCCCATCAGCACTGCATTCCTCTAGAAAAAGGATTCAGGCTCCTTGCTTTGGATTAAACCTTGCTGTAGTTTACAGAGAGGTTACCAATTCTGTAACAAACATGGGCCTCTTTGAATTAAATGGAGTTTGGGGAGATGCTACAGATGTAATGGTTAGGGGTATAGGTGTGGAAGCCAGAATAGCTGAACTCAAATCCTGGCTCTGTCATTTATTAGTTATGGGATTTGTGATCCTGCTCAAGGCACTTAAGCTCTCTGTGCCTCAGTTTCCCAATCTATAAAATAGCATTCATAGGGCTGTTTTGAGGACTGAATCTTTAAGTGCTTAGAACAATGCTTGGCACATAATAAGCACTATGAATAGTGTTACAGAAATTTAATGAGATAAAGTGTTTTAAAATAGACACATCTACAAAATAGTATGCTCCCAGAAGAGTATGACAATGATGGAAAAAAGTTGGCTTAACAGAATAATGGGCCATCCCTGGCTTCTTCATTTTGGGGGGCATAATATGTTCTTTGAATGGCTTCAATAAGCTAAAAAGCTAAGAACTCTGAATTTATAAGTTTTGAAGACATCTAATGCCCTATCACAACAAAGGTGACAAACATGTTCTGGCAGCATTTAAGTAGAATGGTTAGTGAAGGAATAACTGTTTTAGTAGATAATTTAAAATAAGCACTGTTGTTTACATTTCTTCATACATATTTAGCCTAACATATCAGAAGTCACTTATAGCATTATTCAGCAAATACTACTAACTTCTTCAGCAACGAACTTCTGTCAGTTGTCAGAGGGATGGTTCAAATACATGTGCTATACTTTTAACAAATTTTTATTATTTTTGAAGTGCTGGAGGTTGAACCCAGGACCTTGTGCATGCTAGGCAACTGCTCTACCAGTCAGCTATAGTATCAGCCCTGTTCTATGTGTTTAGAGACCCACTGAATGATTTTTATACAAAAATGATTTCGTGGTATTCAAACTCAAGACTTTTCTTCCTGTGTCTTTTCTGCTTTGTCACCTTTTAAATCCCCACCTAATAGTCCTAGCTATTAAAATCTTACTTTCAGGATCTTTCATTTCTGAGCAATAACTAGCCCAAACTACCATATTTAACATAAGAAGTCCCTTGTTATCTCACCACACAGAGTTCCTTACATAGAATCCAGCTGTCTAACCACATGCAAAGGCATCTATGCACCACAACAGGTGGAGCACCTGTGCCTTCTGCAGGAAGGAAACCTTTCCCGCCTCACCTCTCCAGTTTCCCTGGAGGGCAAAATCCAACCCTATGCCTTTCCTTTCAAGTGCATCTGTAGAGAACTATGCAGAGATCTAAGTGTTCGAAAGCTAACATAAAGTCTTTTCTTAGGAGGCTCTGTGAAACTGTATGTGAAGCTATTATCTGAAACACCAACTTTTTTTTTTTTTTTTTGGATGGTTAATCTGTCAAGGGTAACTTTCATTTTTGAGAACAGGGGAGATCCCTCAAAAAATGGGACCTCGGGAAAGTTTCAACTAGCTGGGATCAACTCACACACCCCCGCCCCCATTTATCTATAGGGATCCTCTGAAACTTATATGGTACTCTGTCCCCTCCTCCTGTGACACCAGCTTCACCTTGCTGGTATCCTCACTGGATATCCCAGGCCGATATTCCTACTCAACCACCGCGGGTGGCTGGCTTTTTTTTTTTTTTTTTTTTTTGCGGGCAGCTGTCCACAGCTCCCAGAGATCACTTTCACCAAGCTGGGGCTTCCAGGAAGCGCAATGGACGCCTGGACACTGCACACCTCGCCAGTGCCAGTTACAAAGACCCTTCCTCCTCTCAATTCTCTTTTTGGGACAATGCTCTGGCTAACGTCCCAGGCAAAGGGACCTTGCGAGGTCCTAGATCAGCCCTGGATTCAAGAAAAGCAGGGAGAAAAAGAGAAGTACAGAGGGTATACAAGGTGCAGGTAGAATGAGAGGAGGAGAAGCAGGGAAAGATCAGAGGGAGGGCTGGAGGGGTGAGGAGGCCCTGGGATTCGTTTCCACTCCTGGCCAGACCCTTCCCATGGAGAATGACTTGAAGAGGGCTTCAGCGGCTCTTTTCAACCATCCCAGGGACCAAAGAAGTAGAGGGGGCGGGGAGACAGCCCTCCCTTGGCCAATCACGAAGTCTGCCTCCCCTCACTCGGGGGGCTCTCTCGGTCTCGGTCCCAGTGGTCTGTCTCTCTCACACACAGCCAATCTGCTACTTCAACTCCGGCGAGTCCGGGGCCGGCGCTCTCGCTGCACCTCATCTTCTTCACCCCAACCCCAGTCTCCGATCCCAACTGACCGTGAAGCCGGAGGCGGTTCGCCAGTCCCAGACCCCCGGGGGGGCTCCCGCGGCCGACGCCGTCGCCTCTTCCTGCAGTCCCTCACTCGGGACCTGGCTTCGGGCTGCGGCAATGGCTCCCCGGCACGAGGCGCCACGGCTCGCCCGACTCAGCCAGATACCGGACGGCGCGCAGAAGCCCATCGAGCTCCCGGCGGCTGTGGCGGCCGCGGCTGCAGGGGCGGCAGCCGCGCAGGCTGATGACGCGCAGCGCGGGGGCGCGGGCGACGCGGGCGGATGACGCGGCGCGCGGGGCGGCACGGCAGCATGGCGTCTGTGGTGCTGAGCGAGGCGGAGAAGGTGTACATCGTGCACGGCGTCCAGGTAGCGGAGGCTGTCCTGCGGATTGCAGCTGGTCCTCGAGTCGCCGGGGAGGAGACTGGGGTGACCTTGTGGTTAAACAGCTCTGCGGTCCGCGTTTGCAGCCCAAAGCTGGCAGCGTGGGAGTTTTTAGGAGATGGGGATGAGCGTCCGCATAAGGAGCGATCACCCTTGGACTTTCTGGGTTAATAAGATTCCGACTTCAGCAGGAATCCTTGGGCAGTCCCTGGGGCAGTTCTCAGCGAGGAGCATCGTTTCCACGGCCATCCATTCAGCCTCGGCACGCTTTACTAGACCAAGCCTCAGGTTTCTCCTCTAGGAAACCGGGATCTGGGGGTGGGCATCTGGCCCGCTTTCTCTCACCCCGTGGATGGGAGGCGCAGAGAGCATGCACCTGAGGCGAAGGAGCTTAGGAAATATAAATCGCCTTAGGAATAAAGGGAGAAGAATTTTTAAAAAGCGACTTGGCATTCGGTGGCATAATTGTTATCGTTTTCCATTTGACAGTGGAGAACTAAAATCCCCAGGCAGCTGTAAATGAAGATCTTCTGTGCTCAGTCTTCAACCCCTGGTTTTGACCACTGCAGAACAAGGGTTGAGGACTGTTGTACCTGGCAACGATATACCGGTGCCACCCTCTGAGTCTATTCACACTTGTTAGCTCCCTGTGTCCTTCTCCCATCAGAATTCTAAAGCACACCTCTTTCCTTCGTGCCTTTCCTCTGCCGTGACCAAATGCAAAGTCAGTATTCCCATGATGTAGCCATCAGATTAAATTAATCCTCTGTCACTTACTGTGAGTAAAGGCCATGCCTCCTTTAAAATTGTGACCTGGTGTTATCTTCTGTACCCTTTATAGACTAAGAAACGTCAATAATTAGTTACCAGATTTCATATTAAACCAGGATAATAAAATCGGAACTTACAATCTCACGAGCTTTTTAGTTAGAGGATTAGGAATAGTGGAATATATTGGAAATGAAGTAAAGAATGCTGAACACCTGGCTCATGGTCAGCCCTGAAAAAAATGTTAGCTCCCTTTCTTTTCTTTTTCCATATATCTAATTAGCTTTTATTCACAATTCATGGATCAGGGCAGCCTCCATTCTGTTAGCTCCCTTTCACTTTTTTTTGTCTTTTTTCATCAGTGATAAGGCTTTATCCTAAACCACTCATACTGAATTCCCAGTCTTCATAGTGACTCCATTAAGGACTTAGCCTTTGGCTATTGGGACTTAAATTCTTTTGATTTGGGAGCTAGGAATTCTTAAATTATATCACGAAAAGGGGTAGGAAGTGCCTTGGGGTCTCTGGAGCACAGGCTCTCCTGTATTCTATGGATCACATGGTCTATGTGGCTATCAGACTGTCTCTGGTGATACTTCTTTTCTCTGCCAAAGTGTATGTCTTTTCTGTCACTTCTTGCTGTCCAGCTTCCTTTCTATCTTGGTGAAATCTGTACACCTCCTCCACCTTAACTTTTGTGTGACCTCTCTAGCCTCCCATCACATCATGACCTGTCAGCCCCTGTTTAATTCCTCTCTTCTCTCAAGTGTTTCCCAGATCAGCGGTCAGATTCCAGTGAGAGAATTGGTTTGGCCTTCTAGTATTTCATGATTAAAAGTTAGTCATCTTATGGATAGTATGCTTTTGGGTTGCCTACCTACTTCTGACCCTGGCTATTTTGGGTGGATGATGATTTAGTTGTGTGGCTGTTGCAGAACTATAGGTACAATGGACTTTTCCAGCCTATTAAGTTCTGTGTCCATAATCTGGTCATTAAACTGGCCCCCATAGGGTCAGACCAGGCCATGGCAATTGATTAACTTATGCATCCTTGGAAAGGAAAATTTGTAGCACCAAACAGGCTTTCCTCTTGGAGCTCCAGGAAAGCTGATTCATTGTATGTTCTTGGTTATTGAAGGAAAATGTAGCTCAGCCAATGGTTTCCATTTCTTTTCTGTAGATTTAGCTTTTATTTTAATGTGTGCCTGGGGCACAGCACAGAAGAGAGGGAACAGGGCTTGAGCCTGATCTTCAGCTATGAGATTGAGAAGTCAGCATTTAGTTGCTCAACCTGGCAATGGCAGAACTGGAATCATCCTTCAACACTCTTGCTTTTTAGCCCTGTGCTCTTTCTATTTACAAACCCGTGGCACAGAAAGTCTGTGTCCAGGCACTGTGGGGTGCAGCCTTGTGGAGCCACATCCTTTCAAAGAAATGCAGGACTACTCAGGAGGCTTGGAAACTGAAACGGGAATGAGTGTGTATTTTTGCTGTGTCTTGGACTTGGGCCTGCAAAGCTGGACTAGAAGAGGTTTGAATCTCAGCTCTCTGAGAAAGCTCTGAGGTACTAGATAAGCAAAACAAGGTAGATGAGAGCTTAGCTGAGAGGACCACTCCCAGTCTGAAACTCTCCTAGTGGATTAGGAACACTGGGAGGCTGAGGCAGGAGGATTACAAATTTGAGGGCAGTCTCAGAAACTTAGACCCTCAGCAACTTAAGACTTTTTCTCAAAATTAAAAAAGAACTGAGGATGTAGTTCTTTGATCTCGGTGGTAAGGTGTTCTTGGGTTCAATCCCCAGCACACTCCTCCCTGCAATAAAAGTAACAGGACTAGGGACTGGGGTTATGGCTCAGCAGTAGAGTGCTCGCCTTGCATGTGTGAGGCCCTGGGTTGGATCCTAAGCGCTACATAAAAATACATACATAAATTAAATAAAGGTATTGTGCCCCACTACAACTAAAAAATTAAAAATAATAGGACTGGATTACTTAGGCATTAGGCAAAACAGCTCTGAGCTGAGTTCATGTCTTCTCTTACAAATAGGAGATAGACACTTAGTGCCTCGGTTTTCTAATGTATAACCCCTCTCCAGGGATTTTGACGACTTCCTGAGCGAATACATGCTCCCAGTAACAGGAGAAAGAAATGGTTACCCTGTGCAGGGGGCTCCCCTGAAATGATTTATAACCTTTGGATTCTCCTATAACTGTGTTATGTTGAGGTTATTCTTGCTTTATAGATGAAGAAACAGACTCAGAGGTCTTAAAGAACTTGCTCAAGGTCACCAAGCTGGTATGTTAGAGTCCAGATTTAAATATTCAAAGGAAGGTCCTTGTGATAATAGCTATGTGAGTTGCCAAGAACTAGCCCATCATAGGGAAGCCTTGGATCTAGAAGGAGCTTCGGTCTCTGCTTAGAGGACTGGTCTTCACTCTATGGTGTCCATCAGCTTGATTTTTAAAATGGAACTTTCAATTCAGGGCAACCTGTGTTTAAATGTTTATGTGTGGGTTAATTTCTTTGCTCTTGAGTGTTGCTGATAAATAAAAATCATGGTAGGGCTCTAGGCTCTGAGCCAGGCCAGGCAGGTTTGGATGATTTCCTGTCTTTTAAAAGGAAAACTGGATTTCAAAAAAGTTGCCCTAGGTACAGTCGTTCATGAGCTTAGTTAGGTTTTGTGTTTATTTTTCTTCTATTCTTTTGGATGTACCTTATGCATCCTTGGAAAGGAAAATTTGTAGCTTTTCATTTATTTCTTATTTGTCCTCTGAGCCTTTTCCAGGAGGCAGAGAAATTAAGAGCTGGAAAGGCAAGATATAATGAGGCCTCATTTTCTTTTCCATCTGAGTATAAGTGAGTTCAATTATAGGTAGACCTTTATTTTATTTTAATGTGGTGCTGAGGATAGAACCTCAGTGCTTCACGCATGCTAGGCAAGCACTCTACCTCTGAGCCACAACCACAGCCCCTGATTGGCATTTTAAAAGCAGTATTTAGGAGTCTGTGACCTTGTGGCCTACTTGCTTTCGGGAGCTAATATCATCATCAGGACCACCTAGTAGAGCCAGCTGCTTGGTCAAGACTGTGCTGACTGCTTTTGTACAGTGGAGAGACCCTTAGAGGCAGCAGGCTGTGTGAAGTAGAGGGGAAGTATCTGGCTTGAAGTTCAAATGCTGCTTACTGGCTTTGTGCTCTCAGGCCTGTTACTTGGCATCATTCAACCTCAAGTTTCCCCATTTGTGAAACAGAGTGAATAAATACTATCTAAAAAGGTTATCATAAAGATTAAATACATTAACTGTGTGGTGTTCCTAGCACATTATCTGATATAATGAATGCTCAGTAAATAGCTGGTATTGTAAATAATTGCAGCCATTTAAATTTATAGATCTGTACAGTTAAAGAATCACTTTTGAAACTGTCTAATTTGATCTTTTACAAGTGAGGAAACTAGCCCAGAGTGGGAAGGGACTTGTCCTAAGTCAAATGGCTAGTTAATGGTGGGACCAGGCCTGGTCCCATCTGTTACTAATTCCCCTAGTGATTGTTCAGTCTTGTACCTTGCCTGTAGCCCAGAAAGGAATCCTTGTAAATGATGTTTTGGGGGCTGGATATGCCTGGGACCTTGGACAAATGGGGATGGGGAGAAATGAGGTGTCAGAGATGGACCTGAAAAGCCTTTTAAAATGATTGGCATTTTAAAAGCAGTATTTAGGAGTCTGTGGAAAGGAAAGGGGTGTGAAGAGACAGTGACAGAGTTATAGAATCCTCTGGTGATGAGGGATCACTTTATGGCTCACTCTCCCATGCTTGACATTCTGTTGCTTTTTGAGTACATGTCCCCCGGACTTATAGACTGCTTCCTGCCAGGAAGTAGACTGGCAGTGATTCCGCCTGGTTTATGGAGTTTATTTTCTTTCATTAGAAGGAATTGAGAGGGTTCTAGAGCTGAAACAAATATGACAGATGGTTGTAGTTAGTACTGTGTGGTGGGAGCATGCAACAATGTTTTGTTTTCCTCTGTTTAATTTCTCAAAAAAAAAAAAAAATCATTCACATACACAGTCATCCAGTTTAAAGATAA